ATAGATAGATAGATAGATAGATAGATGATAGATAGAGATAGATAGATAGATAGAGCAATTTGCAGAGAAGTGACTGCTCGATGTCTGGTTTCCGATCCCTCTGCAGGTCCAGTTTGATCCTTCTGGAACATTCCTGGCCACTAGTTGCTCAGATAAAAGCATTTCCATCATCGACTTCCGCTCTGGAGAATGTGTGGCCAAAATGTTTGGGCACTCAGGTTTGCTATTCTGAATTTCTCTGATTTTTCTCTCAAACCCAGTCTCCCTTTGCTTGTTTCCTCTTAAATGTGTTACAAACTTGCATGACAATATATTCCCAAAATACACCATGCTCCTCCTCCTCCTCCTCCCACAACAGAGAAGTGTGCTGGCTGATCCCGTGCTTTGCACATGCTCAGAGGCCCACCCTGTGAACAGGAGTGACACAGGTGATACCCGGAAGACCTTCGTTGAAATTAAGTCAAGGGGAAGCAGCGCAATAATTCACTTCTTCTACATTGCAGAGGTCATCACGGGGATGAAATTTACCTTTGACTGCAAACACCTGATCACCGTCTCAGGAGACAGGTGGGCCGTTAGATCTCTCCAAGGTGCACGTAGGGCTTCAAGCCTTGGGAGATTCCAAGCTCCTCCCGAAAGGAGAGCGGGAGAATTTCATGCACCCATTGGGGTGTGGTGGCCACCTCTGGAGGAGGCTGTCTGTGCCATGGGGCAGCCTTCAGAGGCAGGCTGGAAAGAGCAGCGTGCGGGTGCCCCACACCGCCAGCGCTCCCTGTTTGAACCGCAGGTGTGCTTCCGTTTTTTCTTTCAGTTGCATCTTCGTGTGGCGCCTGAGCCCTGAAATTACCGCTTGCATGAAGCAGCACTTGAGGGAATTGGAACAGATCCAGGAGCAGCAGGAGGTTGGGGACTCTGCGTGGCCTCCCCGGATCAGGTACCGGACCTGCCTTGCGTCTCGAGTTCGGGAGAAGGGCAGAAATTCCGACCCGGCTCTGTAAAGAAGGGGATGTTTTGAACCTTCCTTTCCAGGGTGGAAATGTTTGAAAGGGTCTCCCACCGGGATATGGTTGATTTTGACCTGGAGGAGGAGGAGGAGGAGGAAGAGGAAGAGGAAGAGGAGGTAGAAGAGGAGGAATTAGCTCCGCAGACTCCAGTTAAAGATGACCTCCATCCAGGTACATCTGGGGACAAGGCACGCCCGACGTGATCTGAGCTAGCGGCAGTTTTGTCTGCTTTGTCATTTTATATCTGAGGATTTTTAATGCTTGTTTATGTTTTAAACTGCAAATAAATTAATAATAATAATAATAATATAATACCATCCACATCTGTCTCTCACAGGTCCTTGGAAAGAACTCAATAGATCAGGGGTCTCCAAACTTGGCCACTTTAAGACTTGTGGACTTCAACTCCCAGAATTCCCCCCACCA